CGAAATTGTAGTACAACTTGAGTGCGTGGAGGAAGCTGTGGAGCTGGAAGCTGAGAACTGGCGACTTTGTAGTACAACTTTAGTACGCGGATGAGTCATCTCTCGTGGCTGAGTCATCTCACGCGGCTGCTCTTGCGCCCCTGCAACTGAGTCATGTCCCCCGACCACCCGGCTCTCTTGAGAGGTTGACAAATTTTGGCTACTTCGCTTACTCATAAGTGGCTGCCACAAAAGAGTCATCGTGACGTTAGTATGTGTGTACTTCACCTTCATGACAAACGATGTTCGCTTGGAATACACGAGTCGCTTGTCATGATCGTGACGTCGTTTACTCTCAGGTCGCCCTGTTCGTGGAAACTTCTGTGTGAAATGTACGTTCTTCAGTTCTATTTGAACCTCTTCAGCGTTGTACTTGCACAACTAAGGTTGACGTTGCGCTGCCGTTGCATCGACGCATCTACGTCTACACCCCCTCACCTCTCTACATTTACATCTTCACACGCTCACATCCGCAGATCTACCTCTCCACCTCATGCACCCACACATCTGCGCATCTATATATCACATCTGTACATCCACACTGTCGCTCCTTCACATCTGTCCTGTCTTTCTTTCTTTTCTTTTTTCTACATATCTTTTCTCTCGTCTCTGTGCATTTACATCTTCGCACGCTCACATCGACAGATCTACCTCTCCACCTCCATACATCTACAGATCTATATCGCACCTGCACATCCACACTGACTGTCACTCCTTCACATCCACCTTCTCTTTCTCTCTTTCTATGCATCTGTTCGACAGTGCTGGACAATTGCATGTCTCGCTCTCGGGCCAACCGTCGTCTAGTTTGTCTTTGCTGCGCGCACACTTGCACATTCGCCCTAGCCTTAATTCTTTTTGCTTCCCCTCGGGGAGGCGTGTGTGTGTGTGTGTCACCTTTGGAGTCACAAGGTTGCTTTTGGAGCGTTCTCCTTTTTTAGCAGGGGAGTGCGGCGTGATTGCTCAGCGAAGCTAGTACAATCACGGGGTACCGAGTCTGATCAACTCGGTGTACCTGCCTGAAATTTAAGCTTTTGTAAAGGTCTAATGAGTTCGGCAGTCATGCACGATACGCCGTCATTTGTCGTTTCGACTTCGACTTGAGCTTTTGGCCCCATCTCCTTTTGCAGACCTCGAGGTCTCATAGGGTTTTCTTGGACTGTTCAGGATTTGGAAACCCAGGTTGGCGTGTGGCAACCGCTTTCAAGTCAGTACACAATCCTATAAGTGTGTGTCACACCCTGTCTCTAAGAGTTCTCGCAACAACTCCAAGTCATGACGCAGGGGAAACTTGGCCAGTTTCCTGTACCTGCGATTTGAACTGTTGTTTCTTTGTTTCCATGGTCGTTTGCGTGATACCTCCCACAAACCCTCTCCGATCGCCGTGCAGCTGACTTCGAGCTGACGTACAGCTGAGCCACCGCCGCATTCCGCAGTCAAGTGCAACATTGTTCAACACTTCAGTTGAGCTGACTTGGAGCCTTTCAGTTCCACCATCCCTTTCACCGTGGATTATCTTACTGGATGAACCTGTGACTAAGTGTGTGTGTGTGTGTGCCGCTCCCTGTTTCTAAGGGATGCACATTGCATTTAGCTTGCTCTACCTAGACCTCCTACTCTATTGTGCAACGCAATGCTTCTCCGTTCAACCCCATGCAATCAATGATGACCTCATTGGTTTCTTCAATTAGACCCCTGGAAATCGACTGTCTGATTGCAGCCGTGATAATCGAACCTTTCTTATGACACTTCACTGGCAACCCCATCCAGCACTCCCTTATTGACAGAGATCACCCTCAGCATCCTACACAACGCACAATTGACAGACTTGACATCACACGCATTTGTCCAACACGCGCTGGACAATTGCATCTTTCAAGCGCGCACTACCGCATTCCAACAAACGGGAACTGGTATAGGCTCCCAGCTAGCGCTGGCTGATTGAACACTCCTGGCACCAGATCATTTCAGTCCTCTTGAATCACATCCTACTATCACATACTACCACCGACCGGTATGTCGACAACCGATTCATCACTTTCAACGAACATTCAGCCAGCTACTAAGCATTGCGCAGTAGGCCACAACGGCCGTAGTTTTGAGCTCGAGAACAAGTGATCCCAGTGCAGCCTTTAGTTTACTGTGCATCACGCGTTGGCATACAAAGCAAGGCAAGACCCCCCGGATGTTTTGCTCTATAATGAGGTTCGGCCTGGTCCGGTTTGTTCCTTCCAGTGGGCTCCCCTTCCTTTGCAGTTACACACCTTCCTTTTTCCTTTCACGTCTCTTCTGCCTTCATGTCATGCCATTTCATCTGATTGTATATTTTGCATGCACACTCGCAAGGTGCCCCAGGTCTTGCTTTTGATGAGGCTTGGCTCATCGGTTGTCCCTGGTCATCTGACTTCGTCTCCATCGCCTCCACACATTTCGCCTCCACTTGTCTTCGCTTGCGCGTACATGTGCTTTAATTGCCCCCCTACTGGGGGGAGTGTGTGTCTGTGTGCGTAACCTTTGGAATCATAGGAAGCCTTCTGGCTTTTATGATTTGAATTTCTTAGCAGGGGGACCACCCATGTGCTGCGCGATGGTCCAATGAAGCGGCCAGTACATGTGGATATCACTGCTGATCACGACGTGATGTACTTGCTCGATTTGTGGATGTTGCTAACTACATCACCCATTCTAGACTTCAAGGCTGTTTAGGTCGATGTAAGGTTTGGAGATGTGCACTCGCCGCTCGTTCTCAACGTTTCTCGTTTCAGACTTAGCCTCTTTGGACTTGATGCCTTTTGGAACTGGAAGCCTTCTGGAACTTGAAACTTGAGGATGACTGGACCTCGTTGCAAGTGTCCATTTTTTCCCGAGGCTTCTTCGGGGCTTGGAGCAATCAAATCGAACGCACAATAATATCTCGAGTGCGTGCATTTGGAAACCTTGTCTTTCGGAAAGTGGCACGTGTTGCATTGACAAGACACTTGGTGTGCTGCACAACAGTATCCCACTTACTGTAATCCAAGGCCGGTCGTTTTCCAAGGATGTTTCAACAAAAAACAAACTCAGGTCGTCTGGATGGTCAACTCAAATGTCGATGTACTGGTCAAACAAGAAAGGGCTTACTCTCCACAAGAATGACAACTCCAATGTCTAAACAAGACGAAAGACAATGAAGTGCACACAAACGGAACAGCAACAGCAAAAGAAACAGCAACAAGAAGACTGGGAGCCATGACACTGCAAAAAGATGAAGATCGTGCAGTTCTAGCACCCGAAAGACATCCTTCGCACCAAAGGAATTTTGCAGGGCATATCATATAATGAGAAGCAAGTCTGGTGGCATCTGACATGTCTCCTGCACAAACGGAACTCTGAAGGCTCATTTAAATACTGTACTTCTTTTGGTCAAGAGAGGGCTTGAGAATTTCCGGCCAGAGTCCTAAAGGAACGGTTCATCTCATTGCTAAGATGATTTCTTGCGAGAATTGTTCAGCTTACAAACCCATTGTCTTTGCTTTCTCATAGAAATTGCTCCCCCACCCGCCAAACGCTGTGAGAGACCCGATGGCAAGATAAAAACATACCTGAAAATTGCATTTATGCCATTGGGTCGCTAACAGGTAGCAAAAACCAGGGCCATGCAGCGACTGCCTTACAAGCAGATTTGGCAACACGGGCTACACCCCTCAAACCTTCACCCCCTCAGTTCCTTTGGCATGCGCCCGTCTACAAAAGCCAGCGACTGACAGGCTAGGTTTGTAACCTTGGGGGGTAGTGACTAACAAAGGACACGCGATATGAGAAAGCATAGTTGGAGAAGCAATCCCAGAAGGCCTTATGGATTTGCAAAATATCAAAAGCTTCAACACCAAATTGATCATCGAGCTGTATACTCAACTCAAAAAGACTATAGATATTAATAATACTTAATTATTGATCATTAAAGGATTTTGTAGCGTGCCCAACTGGTTTTGGAGCCGCTTTTCAGCACAAATGTTTGGAAGACTGTGGCGCCTACATATAAAGATTCATGCAGGCACACAATGAAAACAGCTTGACTTTGACCCAAGCCTCACTCTCTTCACCCTCCACGTCCTGCCAGCATGTGATTGTGGGGTTCTCAATGTTACTCAAATTGTAGCATTCCAACTTCCAACCTTCAATTTTGGGAACATATTTTTCAGTTCACAAACAGTCACTGTTGACTTTGGAAAAATGGGTTGAACGAACGAAGCCTGGCCTCATTGCCACACCAAAATTCACCGTCACTGTCATCCTGTGGCACCAAAGTGTCTAAATTCACTCGCACTAAATGCCTAAGGTACCGACTAACATGATCTACAACATGTAAGGAAATGTTATATAGAACAATTCTTTAGCTTGTTCTGTGCAAAATACTATACTATGGAGGACAGGAGCACAAAGAGTGAACCCCGGTGTGAACCCCATGCTCGAGGCTTTGCGCTCACTCCTCGTGGGGTGCTGCCTCAGGCACCTGGATCCCACAAGTGCAAATCTATCGAAAGAATGCGATTTTTCACCAAGTCTTCCTTACGCCATGCAGTCCAATCGTTTTGTTTCAAGCACACAGAAAGGTACATGTTTGACAAAATGCTCGCGTGAACTGAAGGCAACGCTCAGATCAAGGCATGCATGAATATCATTTTCAACATAATCACAACATGGAGAAAACATACTAGCTGGACACAGCGCTTTCAAACATGAACAGCACATAAACTTGAAGAACCTGATTCTTAGAGAGTTACAGTCTCAGTGTTTTTTGTTTGTGCTGTTTTGGCTAGTTGTCTATCGTGGAGATGATCGTTTTAGCTTTGTCACTTTAGAGACTGAAGCTCCGTGTTGATTCACATTTGTTTTTCTGCATGCTGGTTGCTCATACTCATATGGTACCGGGCAGGTGTTTCATGAACTTTCATCGTGCTTACGAAATTCATCGAAACTGGCGAGACTGCTTTCAACTGGAAAGTCAAGAGCAGCATGTCCAACCGGAGTCCAACCAAGAAGAACAAACGTGGCGAAGGTCCAGGAAACAAATACAAGCTGCGACTTTGCCCCAAGTCTCATTGATCTGCAGTTCTACTTCTAAAAAACATGTCATCCGAACATGACAGAACACTGTTAAACACACCCCACAATTCACAACAAGAACAATCGATTGTATCCGTCAAAGGTGTTGCCTTTTTCTTACCTTCAGGCCTTCAGGCTTTGGTTTGCGGGAAAAAGGCTAAACAACATAAACACAAGCCTACAAAAGGTATGCGTATACAACTTTCTAGTGATACTCGAATCTGCTCATGTTGCTGCTGATGTACCAGTGTGTGTGTGTGTCTGTCTGTCTGTGCGTGCGAAAACCGCTACAAGTATCACAAGCAGTGAGTTGACCTGCTTTACTGACCTGTTGTCACTGACCTGAATTGCAAACTACACGTTCGGATTGAAACAGTAGGGGAGCAAAGAGGGCTTGCAAAGCAGCTCTGCCCAACGAAGCTCTTTGCCAAAGTCCTAGCCAGTGCAGCTGGTCACTTCCGTGTACCTGCTTGCAATTGAACTGTTTTGAACTGTTCGAACTGGTCTTCAAGCCGCGACACCACTTTTCTGAGCCATACTGATGGTAGACTAGCGCGAGCTGATTGTTCGCGTCGCACGCCTCGATGCTTTTTCAAAAAACGATAGTGTCGCCTATGTCGCCTGCGCGCACGATCTTTGGAGGTTGTGTATTCTAAATTCTAAATACTTGACGGTGTCGTTTAACTGTGAACTTTAGGCAGTGGACTTAGGAGGTCCTGGGCTTCAACATCTTTGCACAGCTCTCCAAAATAACTTGTCCCAGTGTGAACAGGATGGACGCCAGACTTGGCGACACTGTCGAGCACCCGTGGGTGACTCTAAAGCTGGCTGCCCCATTGAAATAATTGGGGAGGAATCACAAACAGTGACGGTGTTACCCGCTTCGCGCGGAAAGCCCGCGGTTCAAAGGAGCCGTTTCGGACTTTTCCTCGAGCACAGCTGTTTCGCACAGAAGCTGCCATAGAGCAGAATCACCTTCGGGAGAACAGGGTACTAAGCTCCTGCGGGGCCTACGGAGTCCATGCCTTATCCGGCGCGCGCACGCAGGTTTGCTTCAATGAGGTTTGGTTTCTTTTGTTTTGGGCCCCTTTCATCTGTTTCCCTTTTTCATCTTTCCCCTCCACATACTTTTCTCTTTTCCTCTTTCTTTTCATGTCTTTTCTCCCTTTACGTTTGGTCATCTCATTTGCGTACACATTGGTCTGGCCCTTAGCGTGCTCGTGCACTCATACATGTAACCCATGGGTCGCCCAGGTTGTTTTGAGGAGGTCTGGCTCATCGGTTGTCCCTGTGCACTTGTGGTTCCTTTTCATCGCAACCACATACACTTGTCTTGTCTTGTCCTCCTCTCATGTCTTCATCTTTTCGTCCTTCTAGCGCGTGCATGTGTGCATCAGTCGGAGCCCTGAATGCTGTGCCCTCCATTGGGAGGGCCTTGTGTGTTTGTGTGTGTCTGTGTGTGAAAACCGCCATCACAAGCGGTGAACTGACCTGTTTTACTGACCTGTTGTCACTGACCTGAGTTGCAAACTACAACATGTTTGGATTGAAGCAGCAAAGGGACAAAGAGGACTTGCAAAGCTCTGAGCATACAACCCCAGAGGTGGTCAATGCTGTTGTAGGATTTTCCCACCCTCCATTCTTTTTGTCCCTTTTCTATGGTTCGAACCAACAGTGGCTCAAATTCTTAGTTCTGATCGGCTGCTGGACCGAAACGGATCTCTGGATCAGCAGCCACTTCTCCATGTCTCTTGCCATCAAATTTCCACGGCAAAGTCACAGGTGGATTCCATTGAAATTGCTGGCCTGACTGTCTGCTGCTTTCAATTCATCCTGCAAGGACCGCCGCCTGTCAAACAAGTGCGCGTTGCCTGCTTAATTAACGGCACGCTTGTTCTTCACTCTTTGCATTGCTTTGCAGAAATCAACGCAGACTCCTTTTTACACAAAGAGCTCAGTGGGATCCAGCGGGCCTGTCCAGTTTCTCCTTGACAGATTGCCGCCTGCAGGAAAGCATGCGCCGTCGTTTCATCGTTATTTGGAACGCCAAGAAAACAGCGCCTCCGTTTTAAAAGAAAACATCAAAAAAGTTTTGCGAAACCACAAGGGCCCTTGCACTGCACATTGGAAATTTTAAATAAACAACGTGGCAAAACACATACGAGCAGCGGCGACAACAACAGAACAAAACACAACACGCGGCACCCCACACCGACAAACTCTAGGCAAAAGTGCGACACGCACCGATCGCGCAGAAGGTCATAGTGATAAGTGAGAAGATGATTTGTTGTCCGTGTGGTAGTCGTAGTGGTAGTGGTAGTGGGGTGGTATGGTAGTGTGGTAGTGGTACAGTGTGGTAGCATGGTAGTGTGGTGAGGCTCACATTGAAGGTTCACAAAGCACTGCCCCTGCCACGAAATCTGCACTTCCAGATGCTCAAAGAACTGCGTTTTGGCCTTGCTGCTGTCCTTGGAAGTGCTTCGCAAAACGCCTTGGCAGGGATGTGAATCTTGATGCGCAGGTTTCGTGGCAGGCAGCGCTTTGTGTGGAGTTTCGAGGCAGGCGCAGCACTTTGAGCCTCAGCACCTCGAAGTCCAGATTTCGAGGCAAGAACCTTGAGGCGAAAGGCAAAACACTGTGTGAGCCTGGAAGCGCAGCAGACTGTCAAAAGCTGCTGAATTGTGTACGGGATCTGGAGGTGACGAGTGCTCTGTGAGGAAATGCTCGGATAGTTGTGGTGGGGAGGCTGGTAGGCCATGTGTACAAAGCCACTGGGTGAGTGTTTTGCGGAATGTGCGGAATGTGTGAAAGTAATGATGTTTGGCGGAGTATCTGTTAGTGTTGCTTGAAGAGCAAGATGGCGGTAGAGAGATGAGAGAGGTTTTCGAAAGTGAGGACGTACTTCCTGGGGGGGATTGTCCTCCCCAGGCGAGAATCGTGCCACGATCTTTCTCGGCTAAGCTGAGGTCCCAGACCCAACACCAAACAGAGCTGGCTAAGCAACCCAAGCCACTACAAAGACATTCAGCTGTTCCCAGCAGCCGTTTCTTGGTCCAACGAGATCATCCACAGTAGCCGTGCTGATCACTGTCTGGTTGCATGTAAAATGTTTTTGCACGTCTCGAGAACTTTAGAGATTTGTTGACATTTTTGGTTGTTGTGAAGGATAATTATTTGAACTGTAAAATCGTTGCTCCTTCTACTTGCTCATTAGTTCCTCGAGATGTTTCCACATTCTTTTGCAAATAAGATCTCTTAACGTGATTCTTTCTCATGGACCTCTCCAATCTATGATTTATACTTGTGGCCCATGGCGATCCGCGCTCGGCGAGCGACTTGCGACCTTCGTGGAGAACCGCTTCAAGCAATTCCCTAGGTCACCAAATCAAAGTTGAGGGTCGAGATGGGCACCCTTCCAGGGCACTCTGGCTAGTCATTTTTTGCATTTTTGAGAAATTGTTTTGATCATAGTGAATCATGTTTGAAGCATAAAAATTGCCACAAATAAGATTTACAATGATTAGGAATTACTCAAATAAGAGTAAAAATGACTCAAAAGTGATTAGACATGATTTTGAACAAAATTCACCAACGGGTAAAAGTATGAGTGAACCACAAGTGTTTTCACGAGTAAGTCCACGAGTGAAGCCACGAGTGAAGTTGCAGTGAACTTGCAAACAAAATCAAAGTTCAACATTTCCTTTTACGATAAGTTGACGAGTCGAGCGACAAGTCAACTTACAAAACACAATGAAAGAAGTACTAAGTACAAACGGTTCCTTTACGATAATCAACGAGGCCAGGAGCACAGCGCCCCTGGCCTCGTTGAAAGCTTCTGAAACTAGTAAGTTTGGGCTGAAGAGCTCTGTGCTGGCAGGGATTGTGACAAAGTAAGGTTTATGAAACTAGTCAAGTTTTGGCTGAAGGCATTAAGTATTCTTTTTGAAAGTAGTAAAGTTTTGGCTGTGCTGGCAGGAATCGTAAGAATTTTGAATAGTAAAGAATATTTTTTGCTGAGCACTGTGCTGGCAGGGATTGTTACTGTAAGATTTTTGAATCTAGTCAAGTTTTGCTGAAAAGCGCTGGAATCGTAACAAGTATATAAGTTTTTTGAAACTAGTCAGGGTTTGGCTGAAGAGCACTGTACTGGCAGGGGTTCCAACCCTTGCAATCAACATCAAACTCAGTCAAAAATGCAGTAGGGCTCCATTTTGGTCTAGGTTAAAATTGAACAATACGTGACAAGACATTCAGCTCAATTAGCATAAACCTCATCAAACAAGTCATGGTCATCCATTGTTTATCTTCATGATTCACCTGGCTGGCATGTACGAAGTGCACTGCTATTCAGTTTACTGCGCTGCAAGCCTGAGTCCCAAACATGCCTGAAAATATCAAGGAATGTCGCAGGCCGCAAACACCATTTTTTAACAAAAAGCCACGTTCAAAGTGATCGCTCACAAGTAAATATACAAACTTGCCCAGCAACTTTTGGCGGGCACCATGTGAAGAACCTGATTCATAATTCATAGAGCAAAGTATTACAGTCGAGTGGTGACAAGTCGTAATACATATCACTTTGGCTGACACATTTTGGGCACCATGTAACGTAGCAAACTTTCAATCCGTCCTCCACATGCTTACATTGACCTGTGACATGGAACTTGTGCCCAACTCCGTCATAAAAACAAGTCTGCTAATTCGACGTCCAGATGAAGAGTTTGGCACAGTGCCCTTCAGCTTCGACTCTGATTCAATGCTTCAAAGAATATGCGATAGGCTTGTCTATCAATACTTTGAAGATCACATAATAATTGACGCCAGGCTCTTTCAATGCCAGAGTCTGACTCAGTGCCCCAATGTGATGATGACATATCGGCATCACGGGAATTTTCTAGAAACGCAGCTTTCAGAGTCATCATCATACGACAACTGCACTTTGCCAACAGCACTCATACTCAGACACCAAACCAAGGCACACTGTTCATTGTTCAAATCAAAAACCGTCGTGGCACTACTCTTGCGCGCGAAGCGCGCCTGTTTCCTTTTCCTTTTCTTGCCCTTTTCCTCTTCCTCGTCCTTTTCATTCCTTTTCCTTTTCCTGTTCCTTTTCCTTTTCCTCTTCCTTTTCCTCTTCCTTTTCTTTTTGCCTTTTCCTCTTCCTTTCTTTGACTTTTTTTGTCCTTTTGTCCTTGTCCTTTCCTCTTCCTTTTCTTTTTCTTCTTTCTCTTCTTTTCCTTTTGTGACACCCCTTTTTGTCAAAAGTGGATGTCTGCACATAGCTCTACCGGCGCGCTCCAACATCAATGGCGGAAAATGTCCTCCAAGATGACCTGATTGACCCAACATAGGTTCCAGATATGGGACACATAGCCGCCAGATGGCCCTACATAGGCCCCAGATATGGGAAACATAGCCCCAAGATGGGCCGAGATTGCCTCAAGATGTGGCCATAGGCCCCACACAGTCTCAGAAAGAGAGAGAGAGAGAGAGAGAGAGGCGGCAGGACACGTGCAAGACGGCTCTCCCGACTTCGGCGTATACCAGGTATATCCTAACATAGGCGGACCCCCTCCCCACCTCCGGGTCACTGATGCCCCTGTAATTTACAGTGTATCGTGTGTGTGTGTGAGGTATAAAAAACACTATGTTTTACAGGGTTTTGGGCCCTTCGGCGGCCGAGAATTTCATCTTGGCGATGTTAAAAAGACATATGTTTTTCCATGGTTTTTGCTTTGCGGGAAGGGAAAAATCGTAAACAATTGTATCGGAAGATTTTTTCAACATAAATTGCCTAACATATCCCCAACATAGGCCCAAGATAGCCAACATATCCCCAACATATGCCCAACATAGCCTCCAAGATGGCTCAACATAGGGCCACCATAGGCCAACATGGGGCCAACATACGCCAACATAGGCCCAACATAGGCCCAACCTAGGCCAACATAGGCCAACATAGATAGGCCTAACGTAGGCCAACAGAGGCCCAACATAGGCTCAACATGGGCCCAAGATGTGCCCAACATAGACCACATGGGCCCAACTTGGCCCAACCTAGGGCCAAGATGCGCACCAGATAGCTTAACTTTGCTCAATATAGGGCCCCCGTCTCCGACGCAGAGCAGTTTCCCACCCCACCCAGGGCCCAGTACGCCCCCGATAGCTTAACGTGCACCCGACCCAGCCCTGCACAGACCCAAGTGGGCTGGCGCCCGGCTGTTAGGCGTAAGCCTTTAAATCTATAACCATATAACTCCATGATGTGCCTCGGAGGCTGCATCCGCTTCTGAGTTGAGCATGCGCCACCATGGCCCGCTGTTAATAAGTTTGAGTGAAGCCAACCAAACCAAAAATACTACAGAGCCCAATTAAATGCCACCCTGCTGAATCCTGCGATTGTGCCTGAGCTTTCAAATCTGAGCAATTTGTTTCTTCTCAGGCTCTCAGGCAACAAAATGATGATTTGGCACTGAGCGGCCTGATGCATTCTGAACTTGTTTGAACCACAAATTCATTTCAAGTATTGATGCCAACTCCTCTCTCAGAGGCATCAAGAGGTCCTTACAAAATCTTACAAAGCCACTTTAGCTCACATTACTGTTAAACACGACAAAACTAAAGCTAAAAATCAAGGTCAAGGTGCATTTTTCAGCTGAGTGGTCTTAAATGTTGAGCGCCCATGCTTTTTCCTCCCAGTTTTTGACATGTTCAGGATCCTTATCGCGATCCTTGCCACGCAGTCCACGCATCAATCCATTCTGGTGAAATCGATGGCCTGGAGCAGAACAGAATTTATTCCACATCAAATTGATTGTTCAACAGCTTGTGGCCTTCAATTTCAGCTAAATTGAAACACAGCTAGCTACGACCATGGACCAAAGTGAAGCTGGCTGAAACCTAGTCAAAACATCGCAAAGCATTCGTTTGCTCGTGCTGCAACACGAAAACGGCAGGTGTCAACCTTACCACACAGCCATCGTGGGTACTATGCTGCTTGCAAAAAATAGAAACGAACACAACCGCACCAACCAAGGCGAAATCACTTCAAGCCGCAATCTTAAGGGTCACCAGAATCGGGCGGGAAAGTTGTGGTCGAAAGCTGGCCGCCGTCTGGGTGCACTCAACCCCAGGGAGCCTGATTCTGTTAAACTTAGCCAGGCAGGTGACAGGTGCTAAAATGACACAGCCCAACGTGATGAGGCCCTAGAAGTTCTTCTATCTAAGCCCCAAATTTGTCGGGACTGTGCCACTCCGCAGACTACCCCAATTTTTCGTTGAACGGAAAAGAAGCGCCTGAAGGAATGAACCTCCAAGTGAAACAAACACACCTTACAGAAACGAAAAACAATTTCGGTCTGTGGCTCTTGTGATTTTCCGTGAGGCTAGGCTTCAACAGAGCAGTGGCTAAAATGACCCCACATGAGGAGGTTCAACATCAGAATCCAAAAACGGACCACCTTTAGCCACAGCCTTGGACACACCTGACAAATTATCCACCCGATTTTACCTAAACTATCATCAAGGGCTCAAGCCACCCCATTCTAGCCAGGCTGGCCAGACGGCTCTCCTACTGTACTGTCAAAGACCTGCAGACTAAAGGGTTAATAACCACAAGAAGACTACCCCTTGCAGGCACGGTGCGGTCTCACACACTCCATGGATATGAGTGAGGAAAAACATAGAAACAACTTTGGAATTGGAGCAATTTAGAACTCCCTAAGACGGCCTGTGTAGTCAAGCACAGCAAATCGGAGGAACTCCGTTACTGCGTTTAAGAAGACCACCTGCAAGGACAACTGACAGGCAGATGGTGGCCAACGTCTGGGTCGTCAGAACACACTGCAAGCAACACATATATAAACGCCATCCCCTCCACCTTGCAGGGGGTCCGGCAGAATCGTTCGCTGCTGAACAGGATGAACGACAACAGGTCCATTGCCGCCCCCGCCACAACGAAAAGACTGTTGCCACGATGGTTTGGAAAGTGGACACCTACACTGGCACTTCAACTGCAGGGCTGAAGGTTATGGCCACAAGCCACGAGCAGCATCGAGCTGCGCTGTGCTGTTTGACGGATCGGGTAGTGGAGGCGGCGGGCCCGAACATGATGCTGGACCAGCTCCCAGAACGCAAGCCGACTTCCAAGCGCAAATCAGCTTGACCAGTGCCGGCAGGGATCAATCAATGTCAATCACAATATCAATCAGGCCCACCTTCATCAACAAGAGTGGAAGTGGGCAAAGGGCAAGTTATTGTATCCTCGGGAATGTCGGGTAACCTAGCGGAGGCTGCCGCCGACACGGCCACCTTTGGTATGCTCATCGGATCCGCCAAGGTCCACGCAGTGGTCGGAGCGATCCAACAAGCCAACACTGCACCGGATCCCGTCAAAGACTCCTGGGGTGCCAACAGGTTGCCCTCCGATCTCGGCTGCGCAAAGGGGGAGTGCAAATGTGTTCAAATGCATTTTGTCTCAAGCATGCGGAACCATGGCATGAAACAGTGCCACCATCGCAAATGCTTTTTTTGTTGCTTTATAGGCATTCTCCGCAGGTAGCAACAATTTTATTCAAGTAAATAGCCACCCATGCCCACCCTGCAAGTAGACGAGCAACAAGTGGCCTCCAGCATGTCCAGATTGCCTCCTTGCTCGGCCAAGCTAGCCAGTGTGAAGCCACTGGCATAGACATCTGCCCCGTGAGCTACAAGCTCCTTGACTCAAGCCCAATGGAGAATAGGTTGCAGGGTGTCAAGGTAGCTTTGGGACAGGCAATGCCTACCAATTCATGTTTCAACATTTACATAAGTAACTTGTTTTGTGGTCTTGAGTGTTTGTTTGGTGTGGTGCGAGCATGGTTGTAATACTGTATAACTCAGAAATGGCAAAGGGCAACTGCTTCAGCCTTCACCAGTTCGACAGAGCCAGTCTTGACGGCACAAAGCAAAGGGTATCGTCCACGAAGGTCTGCTCTATTTGGATCCGCCTTCCGATCCAAAATGACTGTCACCTGCCAGAACATCAGCTCACTCAGTATGCATCAAATGAGACCAGGCAAAAGAAGTCTGGACAATGTGAGAATCGGGACACATACGGTATATATAGGTATAGGACGCGAACAGCTATGTCAAAGCGGTCTGCAAGTATACGTTGCCAAGCCACAAGATTGACATGCGGTCCTCTTTCAGCCCCACAAAGGGCGTAGGTCAAAAGAGAACTTCTGTCCTGGTGAGTTTGACTGAACTCATCACAACTGCACATCTTCTAGCAGATTCTAGGCAGAGCAAAATGCGCCAAATATTGACAAACATCCTTGCCCGTCTGAATACAAACCAAGTTTCTGGTAGCATCGATTCTGGGCTTATCCCACTTCTTACCAGCCTTGGCACTGTACAGATTTAATTGCTTTGCTGACTTCTCATACAGTAAGGGTCATGGGGAGGTAGTTCACCGGTGCTTCACCAACCGCCACTCGAGCTCAGCTCTCTGTGCATCGGGGCAGCTCAATGATCGTCTCTACATCATGCACTTCAGCTGCTCGACAGAGCCGCACACCAGCTCGCCGTAACCTCGGCCGTGACAAAGCATCACGACTCCAGGACACCAAGCCGTCCATTCTTTGCCCGATCCGTCCATTTTGTTGAGCGAACATTCTCTCCTATGCTGACCATTCTCCCTATGTGTTAATGTTAGTCAGATTTTTTCCTTTCTCAATGATTCTCTGATCTTGCGTGCCTGTCTGTAAACGTGTGCGTTTCCAGACTCTGGGCGTGCTTCTCTTGGTGTGCTCTCCTTTGTCTGTGTAGCTAGTCTCTCACCTGTTTGTTCTCGACCTCCAGTTTGCACCCCGACGCTACCAAAAATAGAGGTTAAACCTTTTTTTATCAAGAACGGTCGATATATCCAATGGATTATAATGGGTCAGAGTGCTTCAAACAGTAAAATGTCAAACCATTAAGTTACTGTAAGTCAGAGGTGTTTTTTCACTAAATGAAGTGTGCTAGCTGACAAACGCGTGCTTAACCACACCCATTGTCGGTAGCAACGGGGATAATACTGCAGTTGAAAGTTCAGTCCAAAGTCATCTGGCACTGGCGCGTGATACGCGTGTCTACGCTACCACGCTACTGTTTCCACACTTTCGATTGAACATTGAGATCCTCGCTGCTCATCTGCCGTCTTCGCTCTCAGTTGCTCTCTGTCCTTCAATACTTGTTCCCCACATTGGTGTGTGGGATTTTTGTTTTGTTGCACTGACTGCCCGGCCTTTCCCACACCGCCCGCCGCCCATGCACACTCTGACATTGGTTTGCTGTTAACTCAATTCCCACGATGAGAAGGAAGGCGATGGAACGGCAAGGTGAAAGGTCCAAGAAATTGTAGACGTTTGAACAAAGGTTGTTTCTCATGTCTGCAGGGCTCAGCGGTGGTGAACGAGCGGCGCAACTCAGCTGCAAAACCAAGGTTTGGGGGTGGAAACATGAAGAACCATGAATCAAACCGTGGAGAAGTAGGGTGACAGCTTGTGAAAAACTCAGCAGGTACACACCCAGACGTCTCTCATTGCTTCCCCTCCAGCGACTTAGCTTCGTTGGACAAGGTTCATCGCTGGAGGCCTTGCCCCCCTGCATGTGAAAAGTGAAGTGGAGAGTCCTAAAGGCACCTGAAAGCACGGATGCGTACGGAAATTGATCGCCCCAAGCACCTGAAGAAACCTAAATGAAAAATTGCCTGGGTAAAACAGCTTGTATGTCAAGTAGTCTAACCATCTCAAAGCCTGAGACTCGTACACCGCAAAGTTCAGAAGGTGAGTCGCCGACGCACTAGCCTTTTACTGCGCTAGACGAATACGGCAAACCAAAGAATGAGACAGCTTTGGCCACACGTAGGTTCATTTCAAAGCAGGTACGTCAATCCAGCGTCCCGGATTGATTTCACAGATGCAACGCTGGCGTCTTCGTTGGCGCCAGTCCAGTGTGCATCCCTGGCGCCCCCTGCTAAAAAGAACAAATCAAAAAAAAAATCAAAGGAACCCCGGCGACTCCAAGGGGGTCACACACACGCCTCCCGATCAGGGAGGCCAGGTCTATTTTTCTAAGTGACAAACAAATGTGCAAAGGTGCGTGTGGTTGCAAACCAAATGTACAGGGACAACAGTGAACCGTATCTCATTGTCAAGACCTGGGCGACCTGAAACCTGGGTTAAAAGCAGTTGTGCGCGTACATGCTAAGGGCCGGACCGGTGTGCGTGCAAGAGAAAGAACGGAGTGAGATGACAGGACATGAAGCCGGGAAAGACATGAAACAAAAGAAAGAAACAAAGTGTGTGCGCGCGAAGGGGACAGGATGAAAAGGGAACCTTAATGGAGGGAAACCGACGAAGTCAGACCTCATGAAAGCGATCTAGGTAGACCTGCCTGCTTGGCGGCCCGCTTCGGTTACTATCTGGTTATGGGGGTTGT